ATGTTAAGGGGCTGATTTTCAAGGTACTAAGCAAGGTTTTTAAAAGTATTAAGATACATATTTGTTCTTGATTTTATAATTATTTACAGTTGCATGTACTTATATACATATACTAATCTCTGTACATATATGCATTACTAATAGATCTTGTTGCTGAAAATTAGCAATATCAGGAAAATGTGGTTACTAGATTACATTTTAGGGAGATTTTGATACCTGACTTTAGTAACAATATCTAGTCAAGTTACAGTCATAATTGTAGTTGTTTTGTACTGTATGTGTCTCGAGGTTAAATTGTGTCTGTAAAGAATATATAGTTGATTTTGTTAATTCCTTATCTTGGCTTTGACCTTGACTCAGAGTTGAGGTTATCACCTGCCAGTTATGGAATACACTATCTATTTGCTCTAGAACTATACTGTTAATGAGCATATTTGTTCTTACTAATATGGTCAGCATTGTTGCCATCCTATCTCTTTTCTACTTAAGCTCTTGCCCCTTTGACACTTAACCTGATTAAAGTGATTTACATCAGTTGAGAGCTAGTAGCCATGGTATATGTCACATGATCATAATGCTTTTAAACAGACTTGATACATATTTCTCCAATATGTCCTAAAATGGTCTCTCTCTCTTTGACCTAATGCCACAAATTGTGTGAACCTGTATTTGTTTTTCCTATATTTTCCATACACTTTCATTTCTTAGGAGGGAATTTTGTATGCCATTGACTCATTTGGCTAGAACCAAGCACCAAGCTTATCATAACACTTTGTGTAATTTCAATTACATTATTCAAGGCATACTAAGTAGTGCAAAAAAGTTAGGTATTGTTACAAAGGCATAGATCCTTTCAAAACTGGTTGATATCTTTTGTTATTTTTGTAAATAAAGCATATGGGAACATGGATGCATGGCAAACAGAAATGACTGAACTTGCACAGATTGATCTCACAAACGGCTTAAGGCTTATGTGATCGGTTCCTCTGACGGGCGTGTGGCTTGTAGGCCGGGCGCAAAAACTTGTTTGCAGTGACAAGGCTGTATGCCTCCCTTTTTAAATTTTATTTTCTCTTTTTCTGCATAAATGTGTTTTAGCTTTTTTGTCATTTTCCAATGTCCATATATGTCATTTGATTTGCTTTATCCAGATGATAATAGACTGTTTTCCTTGCACTGACTCTATCATCTCTCTAAGTTGTCTATAAGTCAGTGCAAGAATTATAACAATAAATAACATTTTGTTACTTTTTTTCCATAATCTTCAATTTTCTGTAATACAGTCTGTACTGCCAGTCACAGCAGCAAGAAATAGGATGCTGAGCATGGAAGTGGTACTACATTTCACATTTGTTTATTGATGGAACTAATGCAAAGCCCATTTCTAAATGCCAAATGAGTCTAATCACACTCCAAGAGGTTTGTGCACTCATGGTGAGTCTTTCCCATCACTCCGGCCTTCATCTGAAGTGCTTATGACAGCAAGTTTGCATCACCCCAGCCCATTGCCAAATTTTCCCATTGATGGCATGTTCATGTCACCCAGCCCTCAAGCCAAATTTTTTCATGACATGATGGTCATGTCATCTGGATTGGAGGGGTTAATACTTTTGATGAAGTGGTTAAGATTTTAGAAGGGTTTTTGAAAGTGTTGATCTGAAGTCACTATGACAGTAGGAAATTTTGAAGCTTAAGACTGTGATAGGACAATTTAATCTGAATTAGATTTTAATTTTCTGTATATTCAGTTTTTTCAAGGCTGAGAAATTAAGACATATGACCTCCCAAATCTTTCTCTTACTTCATTTCCTCCCTTATTTAGTCTCCACCTCATTGAATGCGCCTTCTACTTTGACAGGAATGTGTTGACATTCCTCAGTACTACTGTAGCCTACAGTGTAATTATCTCTTAGTTTTCACTTAAAATTAATGTATAATACCTTACATATTCATGAAATGGATATGTAGTTGTGCATGCCCTCTGGTGTTTGGTGTGGATGCTGATAACCCACTAACGCACTAACGGGCCAATCTTCCACTCTTCCCCCTGTTAAACAGGTTCGACTATTCCACTTTCAGGCCTCCAGAGGGCGCCCTTCCTCATACAGCATTACAAGGTGAGCTTTTTGTTTCCTTTGTCAATATTGTGTGCACAAGTGATGGTGTGACCTATTATGATTGATTTATTAGTTTTTAATAGGGATATGCAAATACAGTATTCAGTGGCTTTTAATCGTTGTGGTTGATCTCTTGTTTTTGTTTTGAGTGGAGGTCTTTCTTTTTTTTATATAATTTTTAGCTCTGTACATGTTAATATGACAGTGGTAGGCTTCAGCCTTCCTATTTATAAAGAAATTGACCATAAAAATGCAGAAGAGTATTCACTGCCATTCATATTTACAAATGAAGACATCACTGCAAGGAGCCTGTGTTAACGACCTTGCTTTTCAGGACCTCCTCCAAATAGACCCCTTCCACCCACGCCAGATGACGACGACTC